TATCTCAAGGACGATTATGTGTGCGATCGATGGAAGAGCTAAAAAGTGATAGATGAGAGGCTTAAACTTCCCAACTTTTCTTGAGTTTTCGTAATTTTAACTCCCTTACAGACCAAATCTTATGAAAATTTTATGGTTCTAGAAACTAGACCCAATCAGGATTCTGTGGAAGAAAATTTGAGGTAATTTGAATATTGGAAGCTCGAGAACGGAAGTCCTGAATGTCGACAACGAGGTAAGTAGTCACCTTGAACTTTTCTTAAGAAATACTTGTAGCAATCGCTTGGGTTTTCATATGAACCCTAAATAAAATACAAATTAAGGATATATGAAAGAAAAACTCAAAAAACCATGAGTTAAGGCTCTAAACTTATCAAATTACTCGAGATTTAAGTAACGTTAAAACAACCCACTAAATGAACTCCTCTGCCTATGAAATTCTAATGTTGAGAGTATTAACCCAACATTGGACTCTGAATCAAGTAACCCAAATTTAAATTTCGTGGAACTTATTTTATGTTTGCGAGTATTAACTTAACACAAATATTAAAAGCAACAATATTAAATATTTTAAAAGGTCAAACTATTGTTAAAGGTTTATAAAAATATTATCTATTTGTTAGAGGTTTATATCCACGAGTAATCCCTCATATTCTTGATAGTTTGGCATCTTAACAAAGTGACACGAAAACAGATAACATTTTTCAATATAAAAAGTTCCCATCAAACAAGATCATTCAATATAGGCCATGCTAAAGTGATAGTGAAAAAATGTGTAAAACATATAAAGGGAAATTACGAGGTCTAACCTCTAAAGCAGTTGCTTTATTAGATGTAACTTTATGAGCGTCTCGAGCGAATTCCTTTAAAAAACTGCATTTGAAAAGTTTCATTCAATAACACTACTAAATGGCATAAGGAATTACAATCCTTCACTAAAATGATTTTGATTAAATATATGAGTTTGGAGGTAGTAGTTTGGAGGTAGTAGTGCAAAATATAATGATTTATATAGTAGAAAATAATAAAGACGTTTGAAGCAAATGGAAAGGATAAAAGAAGAATATGATAAATAATAATGGTAAGAATATACTTTAAAGCAAGACATTAACTANGATCAGTCCTTACTGCTCTTAGCCATTTCGCATGGGAAATGTGTCCCCACGTCGTACAGCCCATTAGCTGCATGGGAACGGGTTAGGTCGCGCCCCCCATAGGAGGACTATATGGGCGTAGGGGTATTCAGCACACCCCTAGGCTAGATACCNAATAGGTAAAAGACCTTAAGTTCAATTCTTGGAATGCCTCATGGTCTAGAACTTTGACTAAAATAAAAAAGTTCTCTAAAATGAGAGTAAAAGATGAGTGTATGATTCTTGCTTAGGGTGCAAGAGGTTCCAAATCCAATACTCGGAATGCCTCTAATTATTTTTTTTATTTCACATCCTTTTTTCTTATCCACACCATATGCTGAAAATATGTATTTCACAACTTTTTTAACCATATTTATGATCTTAGGGCCCAAAAAGAATGGTAGAATAAATTGTTTAGCATAGACACAAAAAACTCAAATGTGTGATGAGAATCCATATGGATAGATGTTTTGGATGTCATGGTGAGATGTTAANTTAAGATGCGAAGAAAGCCTACAAGTAGGTGGCTTACTGAGTATAATTTTTATACTCATCTCGTTCTCCTTTATTTTTCTCAGGTGTTCCCTGGCCGCTGGTCGAGGTAGAGGAGCGTTTGAGAGATGTACAGTCACAGAGGGGGTCGTTCCGGAGCGTCAGTCCCTTTTCGGTCTTTTAGAGTCTTTTGTATNGTTTAGCATAGACACAAAAAAACTCAAATGTGTGATGAGAATCCATATGGATAGATGTTTTGGATGTCATGGTGAGATGGTAAATACATGGGTCAGTTCTCAACGAATGTGTCAGAACAAGCCAAGATGGTCGAACTTTATCGAGACTAGAAATGATTTCAAAATGCATGGGTTATGTTGTTGGTAACCAAGATGACTATGAGATTCAACGTTGCTTNAACAAAATTTCTCTCTTTTGTTTTAATTCAAAGTATTTTTATCTTTTTACTTTGCTTTTCTTTCTTTTATCTTCCTTTTGTTTGTTTTCGATTTCGTCTTTTTAGTCACGATTCGGTTTTCGAAGCCTTGAAAATCGAGTCGTGACATGGCACTTAAAATCTTTGGGCATACCTTGTATGGAGAAAATACTCATATCTACATTGACCACAAGATCTTGAAGTAGTTTTTTCATCCAAATAGAACTGAACATGAGATAAAAAAGATGGCTAGAGCTGGTGAAGGACTACGATATAGACATCCAATACCATCCCAAATGACAACATAGTCATTGATGCCCTAAGCTGCACGACGGCCCACTCGTCGGCCATGATGAATAGAGAGACACGAGTGCAGATAGATTTTAAGCATGCGGAGATAGCAGTGATGAGCAAAGAAGTTGTAGCACAGATGGATCAACTGACAATCTATCCTACATTTCGACATTGGATTATGGAATCTCGANTCAACGTTGCTTAAGAGAGATCTTGGCATAGAGTAGAAAAAAAAGACGAGTCAGATGACTTAACCTAGTCTAAAGGCATGTTGGATAGAGTCGCAAATGATTGAACATGCACACACAAGAGGAGTGTGTGATAAAACAAGTTTGGATTCCACACCAATTGTGTTCAGTTGGTGAAGGAAAACCTCGCCTAAGGTTTAACAAAGCTACAAAATCGAGCAAAAAATGTGAATTGGGCTTGAGCTCCCCCCAAAGCTTTTCGTAAGTGTGTCAAGATCACAATGCAGCATGGTTGAAAAAGTATGACGTGACATTAAACATCAAATTAAATGAAGAAAATAATTATGATACTCTGAAAAGTAAATTTTGAAGGATAAAAAGTAAAAATTAGGGCCTTCATGGAAACCCCTACTATTTTTTTTTCTTTATTTCATGTCCTTCTCTTTTATATATAGAAAAATACTTATTTCACAACTTTTTTAATCATATTTTTAATGGTAGGCTGAAAAAGAATGGTAGAATAATTAGAAACCTCATCTAATAATATATTAATTGATTTTAATGTGTTGAAACACTATCAAGCATAAAACTAAAAATACGAGGATAAATCAGTTGTTTTCAAAGTTTTAAAGGTATAGGAAGATAATATTTATTTTTTAAAATTTAGATTTATTACACACAAATTTTGTAAATATTTGTGGTTTCATGATCAAGTGATTAGGACATTGAACTTGGAATCCAATAAATTGAGTTCAAATCTTAGTGAGACTTATTTTTATGTTTATTTACGAAAATGAAAATCTAACGGGTGGATTTTAGCCACCACTGGAATACTAAAAAAATATTGATTTTGATCAATTCATCAATTCACGTCTATCCATGTGTTTGTGTGTTCATGATTGATGACTAAAACTATCCAATTATAAAACTTATATTATGGAATAACTTCAAAGGTTTTTTTTTCTCTTCTCTAGGGATAATAATACTTCCACATGGATTTGTTAATACCCTCTTTCTTTATTAATAAAATAATGACTATACATTTAATAAAACATAAAAAATAATGTTGATATATGGGCATTTGGTCTAGTAAAAATAATTTTGATATATGGGCATTTGGTCTAGTAAAAATAATTTATTTGCATACACTTTCTTTATTATTTTAATTCCTTAACTTCTTGTAGTTGCAAGAGCAAAAAGGTGAGAACTTACTTGGTAAAAAGGAGAATTTATGTGAATAAAATTAAGCTCTAAACCAGGCTTCCCCCTTTAAGATTTGAGCATCATCTTTGTCATTTCTAAGTTTCATGCAATTCTTATGGTAGATTGCATCCGAGTCGTTCAATCAAGTCTTAATCAACTCCTAGTTAACTGAAAAAAAATGTAAACATGGAATAAAAAGTCAATATATAGCCTACTTGTAGGCTCTTAATGGAAACCTTAAGCTAGGATGTTATCTCTTATTGAGTTATCAAGGTCTTGGCACTTAGAGCTTATATTCTTATATTTAGTTCTCTTCCCGTAAACACATGAGTGGTGTTATCATGATCATATCATCCTGCTATTAAATTCTGATGTTGTGTATCTCATCTAAGTGGGGGAAATAGGAGGCCCTCCTTATCATCCTACTCATGATACATACGGCAGGACATCCCATATAAAAGATGAATAGGGGCATTGTTGCACACCAAGTGGTGGGAGATAACGGTCACTTTTGGGTATGAATCCTAGCAACCTTATTTACCATTGTATTCAATTGATCCTAGGTATATTCTTTGTAACAACCCGGGAAAGAAAGAAATATATATATATATATATATATACATATAATAAAAATAAATAAATAAAATAAAGTAAAAAAAAAAAACTCAATCGCCGGAAAACCCGCAAGTTTTCCGGCGACCGCCGAGTTTCGCGGAACCCACGCGAAACGACGGCCACAGCACGCCCAGCCCTCAGCCTACGACACCCAGCATCTTCAGAACACCTGCAAAGGGAGAAAAGAGAGAAAGAGAGAGAGAGATTTCGGACAAACGTCGGCAAGTGTCCAGTTTCTCCGATGAGCCCTCAAACCACCCTCAAACCAACACCAAACGACCTGTTACCACCATAAGAGGGATCCCTAACGAAAGCACAATAACTCAGGGTGCATTTTGTGTTATTTCGTAAGCGTCATCGTCGATAATCGAGGTCGGAAAAATTAGGTTTCTTAATCGATTCTTAGATCTATGGCTTTTAGGAGCTTTTAGGCGGCAAAACTCCCAGAAAAGAAAGAAGGAAGACGAACAAAGAGGAAAAGGAAAGGAAGAGAACCGAAATCGGCAACGGAAACGCCGCGGGAAAGAGAGAGAAAGCTCGCTGGAAAATCGGCCGAAGTCGGGTAAGGAAGACGAGATCCACGGATCCGGGTCAACCCGAACCCAGAACCCGGGAGAGCCAGCCCGTTCCTCCCTTGGCCTCTGCCTTCGGCCCAGCCCAACTACAGCGGCCCAAACCTCAAACCGGCCCAGAAGCTACGGTTCAGTTGAACCAACCCAGACTAGACCCACGGTCCAATTGAGCCAGCCTGCAAACCAAACTCCTGTGGCCCAGCCCAGTAAGCCGAGGCCCAACGATTAGTCTTGGCCCAGTAGTCTTCCACAGCCCACGACCCGAACCGGACTGCGACCCGCGCTTCGACCCGACACTACCGCTCGACGTGGCTTTCTCTGCTGCTGCCACGTGTCACACAGCGGCGCAGGCAGTCCCTCGGCTTAGCTCGGCGCAAACAGCTCGAGCTCCCTCCGACGACGCTCCGGCGGCTCTAGTGGCTGTTCGGCTCGGCTCACCTGTTTTCAGCCCAGTTTCCACTGTTTCGACCCTCCCGAATCTGTTTTAGGCCCCGATTAAGGTATCCGAGGCCGTTTGAGAGTCGTATTTCACATTTATTAAATTATAGGTAAATTAATTGTGAAATACTAACGGAAAGTGGTGGATGGTGTGATAGGAAACAACCCCAGGGACGTAGGGAGCAGCTCTCACGGAACGGGAGCTTACGTTTAGCGATTTAGGGAGTACTTCGGCCAAGGCCAACCAAGTAAGTGGCCTTACTATAGGATAGGCTAAATAAATTGTATGATGCTTGATGTTATGTGCCAGTATATACATATTTTGTTGAGTGACGCTTGATATGTTTGACGCACGTTGTGGCATTATGATGAGTATGATGATTGCATGATTTTTACCTTAATATGATGATGTTTTCCATATTGAGCATGCTAGATGATGATGAGTGCCATATTGCATCATGTCATTAGATCGACGTAGGACACAACCCTAAGAGCATGAAATTGATAGTAATATAAATATCCACGAGTATGCGTTACCTAGAGTAACAAAGAGATGAGACTAGAGGGTTGTGTCAGAAGAGACATTACGATGGATTTAGAGGGACCTCATGCATTTTGTATGTTCATAAGCATAGGGCTACTTCCCCTAGAGATGATGAGTGCGGACGCGCACCTTACGATGAGCGCGAATGCGCACAGGTGCGAAAGCACACAGATGAGGGTGTTCATGAGGCGCATGACACTATGGGGTTCCGCTGACCTCCGGACGTCGCTACATATTAGCTTGACCAGAGGGTCTAGGGGGTGTGCGAGTGCCCTGGGGACTCACATTCGCACGTGTGAGTCGTGTGTAGGGAAGTACTACACATCCAATTTGTCCGAGACTGGAGGCCACCCCT